CTTGTGTCAAATATTGGCTAATGTGATTTTCTTTTTTTTTTCTTCTTCTTCTTCTTGTTGGCTCTTTTATATTGACAACGCCTTGTTGTCAAATCAATTAAGTATAACAGCTATATATGTTCTTCTTCCGAAAGACTAAACCATATACAGAAATGTATTGTTTTCTCTCTAAACAGAAGAATGAGTACATACAAAGGAAAAAAAAGATTGTTTATATTGCTAGTCAATTAAAAGGGCAAGAACGCCTTTTGTTTAGTTGTTCGTCTCTTCTTTTTTAAGTAAGTAGATTAATTTGATTGATGGATACTTCATATTCATCAATATTTGAAAATTCTTTATTCCTAAAGTATTTTGTTGTTTGATCTTATTTGATTGAAAAATATATCTATGATAAAAGTGAGTATGATGAGATGAATGATCATATATGTGTTTAATTATGTGCTCTAATAATGTGAATGATGATACACATATATAACACATTTTGAATGGAATGCGCCGATGATTATCGTTCAAGTTCATCGTTATTCGCTCGATTACACTCTGCATACTTTTATCATATGCTTATCGTTGTTTGATGACAGCCGATCAATCGTAAATAGAAGAAACATCATGTCATCATAGAAAAAAATATGCATTAAAAAAAGTCTAGTCTGAATAGATAGTTTGACGTCATTAAGTCTTTTCTTCTGATATGTTTTGTTTTATATTTTTTTATTTTATATTTGATGAGAAATATAATTTATCAATGAATGTATATATACACACAAACAGAAAAAAAAAACAAAAGAAATTATCATATGATCGGTCAATATATTTCGTATATTTTGATTTATATCGTTTGTTTCACCTTTTCTATGTACTATTCGAAAAATATTGACGTTGTTGTTATTGTTGTTGTTTTCGTACTCAATAATATTCAGTTCTAATCATAAACAAAACTTTGAATGAAATCATTGATTTAAAATATAGAATATTTAATTTGTTTGTTTTAATAATGTAATTATTTAAGATACATTTTGTTTTTTTGATCTACTTAAATTATTATTGAGGAATCTGACATATCAATAGATGAATTTTTTATTAAAAAATCTTAATATTATCATTCTTTTTGCACAAATTTTATTATGAAGATAAATGATATTCTATTAAAAAAGAAAAAGAAGTTTCAATAATTATCCATACTAATGGTTAAGATAAAAAAAAAAAAAGAATTTTTTGCAAATTAATGGTTATTTTTATCTTGAATCTATTAATAAAATGTCATTGTGCCCGAAGCTACTATTGAAATATACAACATATCTAAGTTTCAAATTATATAACTTGAGATAATTATTACAACTATTCATATATTTTTTATCAAAAATTTCATTATACAATAAAAAAAACTAAACATTCAAGGAAGATTATTTAAATCATTGTAGGTGAACGAAATCGATAATATATATTATCGTGTCATATAGTTTATGTCTATAAGTTAATATTTTGCTTTGTACAGTGTATTACGACTGTATTTTATCGTTCTGTACCTCAAAATCGAGTATCAGATCGTTTACAATACGATGAAATATGGTTGTCATACAGTGCCTACTAAACAGAAAAAAGATTATCTGATACGGCTGTTTATGCTCGTATTTATTTGACCTGGAACATTCGTCTTTGTACTGTATGTATGTTGTATTCTCATTAAACACAGTTGTCAAACATCAGTCTGAATTAAAGAAAAATACGATATATAAACACAGATAGTGTACGATCCGTTTTGTTCGAACAGGGAAGTTTAAATTTTCAAGATTTTCTTCTTTTCTAGTATATCTATATGATTTTTAAATCAATCCGATATATAAAATGAATTTAATGGAATATTAAGATATCCGAATGAATTGTAGAAGATTGATTATATTATTTTTAGTGTTTCTATAAAAACTGAATTATCATTTTGCATAAGATTCTGTTTGAAAAATTGTCATATAGTTTTAATTAAAGCTATTTGAAATCATAGGGTTAAGCCTTTCGAAAAAGAAAAAAAAAATGTAAAGAGATAAATTCATCTGTTGTTTAGTTATTTCTTATTTAGAGAATATTTTGCGAATTTAACATTTTTATAATGCAGGTTATTTGTAGGTAATGTCATACTAATTGACAACATAAAGATTATCATTCTATTAGAGTTGATTGATGATGAGCAAATCAAAACTATTAGAAAATCTTTTCATTAGACTTGCTTAAGAGAGAGTCCATGAACTAATCGAGGATACGGGACAGTCGATAAAATTCTTTTTTTTTGCGCTCATTCAATGCATTAATGACCTCAAAATTTTAGCTTCTAATACCTTTCTAAGCAAAAAATACTCTATAAAAGCTGTGCTAACTTGCGTTTCAACAGATCATTGAAATTTTTTATGATATATATATTAAAAGATGAACAAAATGAGGTATATGGATATAATCTAATTCAAGTTTTATAAAGTCAATATGAGTCAAAGAGAATCCTTTTGATCAATCCAAATATAACAATGTACCTCCTACTGTGTAACAGAATCAAGAGACCTCAAATTGAATTTTACATTTCTCTACAAAATAGTGCATTCAGTGCAAAACGAGGCTTCTATCTCTTAATTTTTGATGGTTTTTCAATATACAACAAATATTTTAAGAAATTTTCATTGATATAATGCAATGCTAAAGCAAAATAAATATAATATTTGGAATCAGTATCAAAAACTGTATCTAATCATATATTTTTCAGGGAAAATTTTTTTCCGATCCAAAGATGACCTATGGGGGTATTAGAGAGAAAATTTTCTTTTAAAAACAGCTTTGGGATATCACAAGTCAGTTTTGGGTCGAAAAAAATTTTCCCTGAAAAATATATGATTAGATACAATTTTTGATGGTGATTTCGAATATCATATTTATTTTGCTTTAGCATTGCATTATATCAATGAAAATTACTTAAAATATCTGTTGTATATTGAAAAATCATCAAAAATTAGGAGATGGAAACCTCGTTTTGTACCGAATCCACTATTTTGTAGAGAAATGTAAAATTCAGTTTGAGGTCTCTTAATTCTGTTACACAGTAGGTGGTACATTGTTATATTTGGATTGATCAAAAGGATTCTCGTTGACTCATATTGACTTTATAAAACTTAAATTAGATTATATCAATATACCTCATTTTGTTCATCTTTTAATATATATATCATAAAAAATTTCAATGATCTGTTGAAACGCAAGTTAGCACAGCTTTTATAGAGTATTTTTTGCTTAGAAAGATATTAGAAGCTTAATGCGTTGAATAAGTATTCAATATACAAATTCACTTCTTTTTGCATAGGGTATTGAAAAAGTTCTGAGAACTAGTAACATCTCTTCAATAAGAAGTATATTATATTTATTTGTCTATAGTAAACGTTAGAAGACATCATAAACAATGTTTGATTTACTTTTGAATAATTATTTTTGTATTCATTGACATGTGTCAAACTGATTGCTTATTTCCATTCTTGTTTGAGAATTTTTAAATTTTTTTTTCCTGCTTAGTATACTTTTCAAAGTATCCTTTATCTATCGAACATATGTCAAGACTTGATATATAATATCTATAAAACAGAAAAACATTAAAAGTAACATATTATTTCGCTGTTTTTTGAAAAACGAATATTTATACAAATAAAAAAAAAAAAAAAAATGGAGAATCGTTCTTGTTTATCTGATCGAGCTGAAATTTTCTTTTAATTATGACTAGAAAGTATTTAGGGTGACTGCTCTTTTTTGTTTTTACCTATGATATATCGCTGATTTTTGCCGATGTATACAATAAAAGCTCTAGTAGAAAAAACATGTATTTTCTAGGATACATTCACGGATGAAACTACCAGAACTCTAATCTATCGTTTGAATTCATATTATACCCATAATGAAATTTTGGTAAGACAAAAAAAAATTCTAGAATATTTTTTGTCCATGAGTTTGTGAAGTCGAATTATGATCATTTTAGTGAATTTTCCATCTAATTTTACGTATATTCGAAAAAATTCAATAAAACAATCATAACTTGGCTATAGAAGTCCAATCAGACATATTGTAGTTGAGAGAGCGGGTCGAATTTTTTGACTTTTGCGAGCAAAGGTCGCGAAAGTGTACAATCTCAATAATTGAAAATTATTCATTATTACTCAATAAAACTACCAAGACTTTTTTTTTACTTACCTCTAAGAAACATTTTCTTACACACTCGCACCACAATCTCGATATCTCCTAGAAAGAAGCATTTAGTTTTTTGAAACTTTCTAACTATCAAGATATAGAACCAGTCGAATATAAAATTTTCAGACTTAGGTTCGAGTCCTAAGGAACAATCCAACAAGTTCTACCAAAATATCTACCTTAATAATTTCATGACGTATTCTAACAATTGGAAATTTCTACAATCCAACATAATTTTTTTTCCAATTTCTGTTGCCTAAGTAAACGTCCTCTAGAAATATATAAAGTGCATAGATGTGTTATAAAAAAATATTTTGTTCGATTATGTGAATTAATGATGAAAGACGATAGGTTTTCTTTTGTCAATGTCGAACCACATGATAAATATCAGTTTGAACCTCCATCTTTCATCATAATGTTTATCTTATAATCGTTTTATTTCCTATTTTATATTAATAATAATATTTTAGATTTTTTTTCTTGTTTTTTTGTTGTTATATTGAAAGAAAATAATATGATAAGAAAAAAAAATCTTTATTGATTTTGTAGAAAAATTTTATTTGGTAAATAAAAACTTTTTGTTATTATAGAAAATAATGATTTTATTATATTTAGTTCAATCTTTATTTATCGATTCATCATCAAGTAAAAAAAAAAAAACAAGGTTTTCTTCTTTTTTTTTTTTTTTTGTATTTTTAAATTTTAGTTGTCAAATTCGTGTGTGCTAATTTGTTTCGTGTGCTATTCTAATTTTGCCACGATCCAAATGCACTTGCTGTTGAGTATTGGCGATGTATGGTAGTAAACACAGAACAACGGATGGGTAAATTTTATTTATTTTAAAATTTAATATATCATAGTTTTTTTTTTTTTTTGTAGTCTATATGAAACCCGGAAAGACGGTAGCGCCTATTCGGTAAGTATTCTTAGATAATAACGAGTATTTATTTTTAATATAATAAATTGAATTTTTAAATCAAACTATCTACATGATATTAAATGAAAACCTTCATTATAATAAATAGCTATTTAATATATATATGTATGATAGTGAGATGACAATATTCAAGGTGATTAATGAAAAAGGTGAAATAAACATATTTTGACAAGAAATAAAAACATGTGACAGAAACAATAACTTTTATTCTAACAAGAAAACTATTGCAATTTTGATTAAGTTATAGGTATATTCTCGGGAAAAATTAAATAAAAAAATTTCAGATGGAAATTTCATCATTGAACTTTTTCGGATATATCTCAAACTGTGTTAAAAATTCAGTAAAACAATCATAACTTGTTTTCGAATGTCTATAGAGACGAATTTGTTTAGTATTATCGAAACCTCTGTTTGCAGTCAATATTAGCTTAAACGGAGGATTAAAATTCAAGATAATTCTCTCGTAAGCTTTTTATTACTTAAAGAAATTTCATCATTCAAACATTTCAACAATTGTCTTTTCAAATCATGGAACTAGATTTATTAAAAAACAAAAAATCAAATACTATTCTTCACATCTCTATTTAATATGTGATATATAGATTTCTTTGATAAAGAATAAAGTTAAATGTTTACAATAAGAAATATGTCACAATGTCCTGACAAAAGAATTAAGATACGACAAGTGTCACAGATGCATACAATAAGTCATGATGTCTATGTAAATATATATTTACAGCTGTCATCTTTTACAATAGGATTAATTATAATGGGTCATAGCCTTATGATATAATAAATATCTTTTAATTTCAATTTGAATATGAAATCAAATAATAATTCATTATTTTGTATATTTTAATTATAGTCAACAAAACGAGAATCGAATTTACAAACACATGAATTTAATGATGATTCATCTAACCATCGAAAATATATTCGAACACAATGTATTTTTGTTTTGTTTTATTAAAAATAAAAAAACAAAATGTTTGTTAATTTAGCTTCTTCAAATAATCGAACTGTACCATCGTCATCATTTTCTCAGCAGCAACGTCAAAATAATGACAAAGATAAGAAAACAGTTAAAGATGTATGTGTATATTTTTGATTTTGTGTATCATAATGTCGAAAGCTTTTTTTTGTTTTTTTTTTGTTTTCAAGGCAAAAAAGCCGTTACGTGTATATGGTGATTGGTCAGAATTTAAAAGTTCAACAGGTAAAACATATTTTTACAATTGTAAAACAGAAATTTCTCAATGGGAAAAACCAAAAGGATGGCCAACAGATGAGTAAGATAAGTTTTGAAAATTGTTTTTTTTTTGTTCATGAATTAAAAAACATTGTTTTTTTATTTAGAACAATATCTTCATCTATTCGAACAACTTCATCATATTCTTCTACTGATCGAACTAAAAAAGGTTTTTATTTTATTTTCTACATTATTATTTTTTTTTTTTCCTTAAAATAGAATCAACAAATTCAAATAGTTCACCTACAATTCGTTCTCGATATAAGATGGAAGAATCAACAGAAAATTCTCGTTATCAACAAAAAGATATTCCTATTCTTAATTCAACTATTAAATATGAACAAAATGGTGATATACATTCTCATATATCAAATAATCAAATACAAGAATTATTACCATCAAATGAATCATTTAATACAATTTCTAATATTCGTTTACCTAGTCCAAGTAAAAATTTTTTTTTTTAAAATAACATAAAGAACTTTTCATTTTTTATATTAGATGATGATGATAATAATTCTCGAATGTCATTTTCATCGACGAGTAGTAAACAATCAACAACTATAAATATTTCTGATAATGGCAATGTTTTACATCCATCATCATCATCATCAATTGAACAAGGTAAAAAGAATTAATGAAAAGAATAATTTATTCTTGTGTGAATGCTTCAAAATTTAGCAATGTGGAAAATATGATATATATCGAAAAGTTTTATAGTGGAATATAGGATTGTTTTGCCTATAAATTATTATGAAACAATTATAAAGATAGTATATATTCTTATTATATTTTCTCCTTGAAGCTAAAATGTCATATCTTTTTTTTTTAATTATAAACTATTCATTCTGATATGTTATAAATTGAATTGAATTCATAAAAAAACATTCATAAAATTATTCTAAAAACAAATTAATATATATTTTGATTCTTTTTTTCTTTTTAAAGCTATTTCAGTATCCACTCCAGTGTCTGATATGCCAAATAAACCTCGGGAAAAAGATTCAATTGCTTTAAATGGTAAAAATAATTATCTATTAATATATTCAATAAAATATATTCTATATTTAGGATTAGAAACAAAATCTTCATCTACTCGAACAATTATTCCTTCTATAACAACAACAGAACAAACGTAAATGATTTATTCATTTATAATAATAATAAATAAAATAAAATTTTTTTTTTTTTTTTTTCAGTACAGAGATCGAATCTTCTACTCCATCTATTACAAAAATTGAACGTGATCAAGAAATTCAAAAATATTATCGTGGTAGTTTAATTCAACATTTAACTGATTGGCCATCAACTCAATTAGAAAAACAGGTATGAAAAAAAAAAAAAAAAATTATTTCTTTATTTTATTTAGTTATTCAATTTCTTCTTTTAGTGTTTAAAACTTTTTGATGATTATTATGGTTATAGTGCTAAAATGTCAACAGGATTTATTGAACTTAAAGCATTAAAGTCGAACTTTCGCGTACTTGAAATTAAACAAAATATTTTAAGACAGAGGTATATATATATATATAATTAATCGATTTTGTAAAATACAATCTAACAAAAGTATTAGAAATATTGAATTTTCTTCCTAATTAATTTAACATAATCTAATTTATATTTATTACAATAATGTAACGTTTTATTGTAGTTCATAACTTGTTTAAACATTCTTACAAAATAAATTGTAGATTCTCAAACGAAGAACATATATATGTAAAGGTACAAAAACATAGACTGATCGATTTGTTTATTTCATATAATAGTGATACGAAACAAGGCGAACAGAATAATCCTGTGTTTTTATTTCTTCGTAAAGATGTGTAGATACATAAATGTGTTCTTCGTGTCACAATGTACAGTTGTCTTTTGTAAAAATTATGTCTGAAGAAGTTGTAAACAACACCAAAACACCATATGATTGTACTAGATTAATTCGGAAGAGATCTCAAAATATCTATAAATCTCTTTATGATTAGTAATAGCAGTAGCTACACATTCTATTTAACATTTGAAGTCTACAGAGATTTATATTAAGCAGCTTATTCTAAATAGATTAATTTTCTATTTAAGACTTCTCCGGTGTCAACAACATGTTAAAAAACGAGAAGATGATAAACTGTTATAATTTTGTTTTTTTTTTCTTTTTTTTAAATGTTTTTCTCAAGCAGCAATGTTGTATTTGCGCATGCACAATAGATGTTAAATTATTTCATTCTTAAAACGCGAATCTGTTCGATATTGTCTATTATTGTTTTTTTTCTTCTTTGTGTATGTGTGTGTCAGATAAAATATCTTAACATCAGTAGTTTTCTGGCCGATTAAAATGATGCTGCGTAGTGATGATCGAATTTTTCTTTCTTTTTTTTCTCTTTTTTGTTCTTTCCAGAAAAAAAAAACTAAATAAACTTTGACTCTTATGTATCGATGTGTTCTTCTTTATATTGTATACCTTTGGTTCATTTTTTTTTTTTTTTTTGTTGTTTATTCTTTTTTTGAAAAAGTTACATATTATATATATGGAAAATATTATAATTGTGCATATTGAAATGTTTTGATAGAATATGAAAACAAACAACGAATATTTCATAGAAACTTTTTTATTTCTTCTAGAAAATTAATTAAATGAAAGAAGAGAGAAAAAAAAAAAGATGTAAGATAGTTAATTATTGTTTACTAAAAATTCATTATAAAATAATAGATTTATTTATATTAATGAGAATATTTTGAATAGTATTAGAAAAACTATAAAATGTAAGTGAATATCAATAGATAAATTTTATTTAGATGTTTTGTATTTATTTTCTTATTTTAATGAAGAATTTCTCTTTGATAAAATAATTCAAACATTTGAGTATTAAAAACTACAATGTTATTGATGAGCTAGACATTTTAATTTATAATAATAAAGCAAATGCAGAACATATAAAGAATACAAATTTAGTTACATTGAAGTGTATTCTATTTTTAAATTGTATAAGATTTATATAATATGATTAATAATAATAGAGATCAAGATCTGAATTATTCATGTTGAATACTTGTTTTTTATTGTTACTATAAAAAGATATCAGTATGTGTTCGAAAAGAAAAAGAAGAATACTAATGAGATATTTAGATTTTAGATGACAAACTCATGATAATTAGATATCAGACTAAAAAGTAATGATGAAGATTAGAATAAGATTTAGTTTAATTTAAAAACAAAAAAAGTCTTATTTTACTAATCCATAGAATATTTTCTATGTCAGACAAAATGCCTAGAAGTTTTGAATAATTAAAAATAGTAAAATTCCATGAATAAGTACATAAGTATTTATTTTAAAATAATCTCTCTTGTTTCATATATAATTAAGTATAGAATTTTATTATTTCATTTCATAGAAAATGATTCAAAAAATATTTTCAAATAATTTTACATTTAATTATCATAGAAGAAATGAGTGCTTGTCAAAAAAACAAAATTTTCTGTTTTTTTAAAGTATAATTTTTACTATTTAGAAGTAAAACATTGAGAACAAAAAAAAATAAATAAATAATTTTTCATATGATTTTTAAGACTACTCGGCGGATAAATCAAAGAAAGAAAATGTGTTCGGTCAGTTTTTTTTGTATTATATGCTAGTCAAATACTACTTCTACATATTAAATAAATAACAGAAAAGAAATAGTTTGTTTTATCAAGTCATAACTTGAATGTCTGGTTTTTTTTCCTTAAATAATTACCTTTGAATATTCTATATAAAATATGATCGTTGAGTACTAAAAATTTATGCATAGAAGAAAATGTTATATGTTAATATTTTATAACTATTCTTTGTAATTATTTATAAAACATATATTCTTAATATTTATTTAAGATAATGTCAAATGATAATGATCGTCTTCGTGAATTTATATCATCACCAATTGATTTAGAAAAATTTTTAGATGATACAACAAATCTAAAAAGACGTATATCAACATTTACATCTTCATATCCAATTGATGAAAATAATCTTGATCCATTAATTAATTTAGCTAAATCTTTAAGTGATTATCATCATCATGAACAACAAGATGATTCAACACGAATAGAAAATGAAATTGAACAAGAAGAAGATGAAGAACAATATGGTCATGATGAAGATGATGATGAAGATACAACATCAAGTACTTGGCGTACAAGACGAAAAAAGAAAAAACTTGATCCAATTATTTTAAATAATCTTAAATCATATCCAGCTTGTATTGAATATTTATATAAAGAATTTAGTCAATCACGTCCACATGCATCACATGATACAGCATTTTTAAAAAATATTCGTGAATCAAATCAAGCACAATCAAATATAAATGATGATAGACTTATATTAAATTTACAAATATTTTTTCCTATTGAATCACGTGATCGTTATCGTCATCAATTAATGAATGAACTTATTTGTTTATCAACATTAACATTAGCACAAATACGTGATTCTATTGAATGTGTTAGTGATGAACAAATTCTTGGTGAATATTCCGATAATCCCGATAGTATACAAACAAATGGACAACGTGCTGGTGATGTAAATACGGCAGCTTGTTTTATAATTGAATCAATTATATATGATGATTTACGTCGAACAAATATACGTTTAAGTGAAAAAATTATTGAACAAACAAATACAAATTATATACAAGGTAATACAATGGAAATGACAAATTTAAATGATCTTAAAATGATTCAACTTGGAAAACCATATATTTATTTACATCAAACAAATTGTGAACATGTTATTGTATTTAGTGAATTAAAATTACTTGAACAAGATCAATGTCATGATTCAAAGTAAAAAATTTTAAATATAAAATATCCCAAAATTATAGAATCCCCCCTCCCCTTTCCCATACATTTATATAATAATATTTATTTCATTAGAAAAAAATTATATTATTAAACTATTAATAACTTATTTATATAAGCATGATTGTCTACTAACTATTGCTATTGTCGATTGTCTTTGTCTGTTTCTCTATAAATAAAATAAATATTATTGTATGATTGTATGGAGGGAGGGGTCCTATAATTTTCGGATATCCGATATTTTTATTAGAATATTTATTTATTTATATTTTTAGTCTCTATCCATTATGTCGAATGAAATATCATGGAAGATTTTCATATTGTTTTCTATGTAATGTTTTTTATGCTAAATGGCTTATTCGAGATTCACCTTTAATACCTGATGATCCATGTTTATTATGTGAAAGATGTTTTAAAGCATGTCATTATGATAAAGATGGACATAAAGTTGGCAATTTTCTTGCATATCATTTTCCACAATTGTAATTAAAGAAGAAGAAAAAAAAAAAAAAACACTATTTCTTATATGTATGCGCAGGACAAAATATCATTTTTGTCGTTCTTTAATTGATCAATAAAAGCAATACGTGTTGACTTTTTTTTTTCCTTGTCGACCTTTGCTTTCATAGAACGAAAAAGTTGAAACTTCATATCTATATTTCTTAGTAAGAACAAGTTTTTTTATCTTACACGATCGAGCCACTCCTTTTTCAGGGTCATGTCCTTTCAAGATGCGCTCGACAACATAAATGATCTACACGTCGTTTTTTTTTTTTTTTCTTCTTCTTCTTCTATTTTATTATTATTATTATTATTATTATTTTGCTTCTACTCGTTTTCTTTTTTCTATTCGTTTGCTATCGTTTTTGTCGACGCATGACGTAGATTACACGCCCAAGCAATTTTCTTCGTTCTGTAGTTTGCTGCTATTACCACTGCTCCTAAAGAACGTCGCCGCGTTCGTTCTTTTTGCTTTTTTTTCATCGATAACAACATCAACGCATAAAAAAAAAAGTTGCTCTTCTATCACAATATATGATGTTGCTTTTTTTTTTCGACTCTATCACCATCTACTGAAAGATCTTGTTTGTTTTAGAATACGACATAATAACGAACACTGTACTAAAACAAAAAAAAAAAGAAGATTTTACACTCAGGTGAGTGCTTATATACAGTTGTTCTTATTGTAATTAATCATCAATATGAACGAACAAGAGAACATTTCACAAAAACGTTATTACAAAAGTGAATTTGATGGTTGACTGCTTTCACGTGTACAACATATATATTATGGTTTACCTCATAAATAAATACATAGGATCGTTTGTGAAAACCCACAAATCCGTGTGTATTCCCCTTACCTTTATTACTGGATATAAAATTTTTTTATGTATGTATATATCTATGATCAATTTTCTTTTTTTTTTTTTTTTATTTATATTAGATTTTATATTTTGGTAATTAATGAATATTTATTGAAAAAAGAAAAATATTTATTATATATTAAAAAAGTCATGATGAACAGATCAAAAAGTGAAAGTAAATTAATTAATTAAAACTAGAGAAAATTATACAATTAATTAATTTTATTTTTCTTTATTTTTAAGTAATCAACGACAGTCATAATACCAAAACAGAAGCTTTTGATTCTCAATCAATGACTGATGATGAAAATTATGCACAAAAACGAAAATCTCGTCGTATTCAAACTCTTATGAAACTTTCTGTTCAAGAACCTATTAATGATAAAAAACCAGAACAAATTAATAACATAAGAAATATAAGACAAAATTCAACGACTTCATTATTTGATAAAAGACCTTTTCCATTTGGACGCTGGTATGTAATATTCATTCTTTATTTTATATTTTTCGTTTTCTTTTTTCGATATTCTCATTCATTTCTTTTTTTTTTTTATGATATAGTCGGGTTTGTATGGATAAAGCAACAGGTGCACATTATGGAGTACCGACATGCGAAGGATGCAAAGTAAATTTTATATGAAATGTTATTTTTGTTTCTAAACTAGACAATCATAGAATATAACAGAGGTCGATTAACATTTCTCTTTTTGACTATTATTGAGTATATATATATATATTTTTTTCTGTCTGCAAAGGGTCATTATGACCTACATGAGTACTCTGGAAAAGATAATTGTAAGAAATTATTGAGATATTGTAAAGCAAAAAACGAAAGAGTTCTGTAAGGTTTAATTATTATTTATTACAATTCATTTTATTTGATACGCAATTATCTTTTGTTTTTTTGTTTTTAAAATATCGTTTTTGTTTTTAAGA